AAAAAAAAAAAAAAAAAATCGATAGGGACTCAGAATTGTTAAAAATAAAAACTGTTAAGAACAAGGATAGAACCAGTATTTGAAATCACTTTAATTAAAAAAAAAAAAAAGATAAGATTTCAGATGGACTCTCTCATTTTAAAGCCCCGGCATGATGATTTCACTGATCAGAGGATTAGCAATTGTGTGTGCCTCAATTCATACAAGAAAAGGCTATGCAAGTTCCCCTATGCTGTTTTGCCAAGCCACTGCCATCTTTGTTATTCAAGTCACTGGTCTTCACAGAACAGCAACTCATGCCAAAATGAGTATTTTATGATGTGGATCAGTCACCAACAGACTCTAGGACAGAAATAAAGTGTACTTGTGTTTTTGACCCATCAAAACCTGAAATCAGATTTTCACAACCAACATAAACCATCAAATTTACCAATAAGCTTCATTTTATCAAATGGACATTTTCCACAGCTGTTCTATAGTCTGTTGAAAAAACAGTTCAAGATTTTAGAAAATACTTAACTTTGACTTGCTTTATGACATACTTTACCCCCCCGCTTGTTTCTATTTAATAAGCACAATTTGTTTTTACTGAACTTCTTCCTTCTTAAACGATTTTGCTGAGCCAATCATGAGAGACAGAGAGATGCTCAAATGCTCAATTTTGACATTCGAAGTTCTACAAATTAATCAAATCACTGTTATCCTGCTTAAATGCAGTTTGTTTAGATCCTCATTAGGAAGCAGATGCTCAAACCAAGTTGTACTAAAATGGCCCAGTGTAATAAGATCTCCCTTTTATTGACAGCTGCATGCTTAAACATACAAGTTGCATAAGTTTTCAAAATGAATTGTGCCAGAATTAAATCTTTCAAATATTTTAGGGACAGTTAATAAGACAGCTGATGTCAGCGAGAACACAACTCAATGTAACAGTGTTTAAGGTATCCTGTAAATAAGCAACCAGCTTGATCCGACAGGGGAGGAAGAAAAAAAAAATGACAACAACAACAAACCCCCCCACTTTGCAAAACGCTATTTGCATCCAGCGATGGAGCCAATCCTGCTTGTTCAGACGCGTTCGCTTCGACCAGCTCTTCCCATTCCCCCGACAGAGGGAGGAGGATGGAGCGAGAGTTGCAATGAAATGTCTCTGACTTACCGACAGAAATTCCCACGTAAATATATATAAATATTTTTTTTTTTTTTAAAAAGCCAACTGAAAAAAAAAAAACAACTAAAAAAGAAGGCAGAGGAAAATCTTCACATCCTGCCGGTCCACAACTAAAACTCAACCCCCCGAACCAGAGCAAGGCCTTACAGCAAGTCAGCGCGGCGCGTACTTATGTAAGGCTCAGCGTGCCCACACCGCGTGTGGCGGCTCTCTGCCCCTCGCGGGGGGGCGCCGCCACCACACAAGAAAGTTGCCCCTCATTAGGAGATCAGGCACCTCTTCTCCTAAATGACTCGGCCTTGGTACGGGGGCAGAAACCAACCGTGGGCACGAGCGAGGCCTGCTCCGCCACACACCACAGGGCAAGTGCGATGCAGAGGCCGAGCCCGGGGGGACCATTTTCCTGGCCCAACTTCCCCTATGCCCGGGGCCGCAATGGGGGGCTGCCCACCCCACCGCCCAGGGGGACCAAGCGGCGCCTGGTGCAGGCCTGCGGGCCGAGTGTCCCGGGATCCCTCACGACGCACCCCGCCCCCCACCCCGGGGGCGCTAGGCCGCGGCCTCGCGCCCCCCTCACGAACTCACCCCGCGGCGGCGGCGGTCAGGCCCAGCCTCAGCTCATTCGCGGGCGGCGGAGCGCGGCTGTGTGCCCCGGGGGCCCTCCGCGCTCATGGCTCCCCGCTCCACGCAGCGCCACCGACCCCCGCG